GACTTGTATTTCTATGTAGCAACAGTTGTTATACGTCCTTTGAAGAGACTCAGATCTAATTATCTAAATGTCATTTTTGTAGACATGTTGGCTAATTGTGATATTCTTTCTAAAGGACAGATTGACACAGCACCCACATGATGCCACATGCAGAGCCTGACCTGTCAGCCGATACTCACCTGTACTTATAATCAACAGTAAATATATTGTGTATGGCAATGATTCATTGTGTATATATCTTATATTGTTAATAATCTTTCAGTAATGTTATATATATATATGTGTATTATTTATGTCCATGAAAATAAAATAAACAAGTTACATACCACATCAGATTATTATTTTTTGTGTAGCATACAAAGAGAGACTAAATGAAAAAACGTCATTGTTTATGCTGTAAGTGTAAGGAAAAGGCATGTATCATTTTAAAGATTTTATTCAAAAAGCTCAGTACAGATTGTGCATATAAATAAGAATGCAAAATAATAAAATACAAATCTAAATATTTACACAAGTAATGTATAAAAAGAAAAAAATAGTACTTGGTATTGTTACATCATCCTGGGAAAAAGGACAGCAAAATACTTGATACAGTACCAGTCAAAAGCTTGGACACACTTTCCCGAACTTTTGACTGGGTCTGTATATGGTTTCCATGTGTGGACATTTCTGGTTAATGCACCAGGTGGGGTGACCTGTAACTGGAGGGCCTGGTTGAGGCGCATCTGCTGATGTCATTTGTAAAATATCAAACATCAGTCTTGGGTCACAGAGCTCAGACAGAGCTGCAGCAGGTGATGACACTGTTCCAAGTCTAGTTCTCGAATTCTGGCCTGTGCAGCAACAGATAACAAACACGATTAGATGTTATTATAGAACAGAGCTTTATTGAATTTTGCATTGGTGGTGTTGGTCAGAAAAAAAACAGAAATAATTTGCTACTATAGATACCTGCTCATCTACACCTGCTCTCCCTCTCCCACAACCTCCTCAGCCTCACCCTCACCTCTGAGCCCGAGCCGAGCCCCGCCTCTGTGATATGAAGTGCAGGCTCTGGAGTGTACTCGGAGTCAGAGCTAGCAATACTCTCATCCTGGAAGCTGTAACATGCAAAACAACGTGAAGAGTGTGACTGATAGTAAAAGAAAAAATGTCAGTGCAGCTAGGTAGGTGCTACAGTTTTTTCATAGACATGCTGCTGACAATTCAAGGTTCAAAAGAAACATTAGCTGTAATAGTAGTATAGCTTACTTAGTATTAGTAGTATAGCTAACTTAATAATAGTAATATAGCTAACTTAGTATTAGTAGTGTAGCTAACTTTGTTGATGTTTCTAGCTTTGCCTGATATACAACCTTACTACGGGTGGCTACTAGCTAGCCAGCAATAAGTTATTGCATCTAACTGTATTTCCAACAAAAAATTACCAAACATACTAGCTTGACAGTATTGAGTATGAGCAACAGTCATGTCGGTTGTTTATATTTATTATGGTAATCATATATTTTTTCTTAATTGTGATTGAGTCACTCCGTATTGGGATATTACAATGACAGTGACCGCTACGTTCTGCTCTGCTCTCTTTCTCTCTTCCACTCAAGCAGTGTGCATTCGTGTGTTTTAGGGGAGTGGCTTTGGCTTTGCCTGAAGGGGTGGGGGTGGGAGTTTCCTGTTGGATACCTTCAAAATCTAGCTAACTCAGGCTAACATTTCCCAGATTACCTCCTCTAGTTTAAAGGAGCTACAGTGACTCAGTATCGGAGAGTGGCGAGATGGGCCAACTGGGCCAGGGCTAGCTGGTTAGCATGCTAACATCAGAGTTAGGGTTTGAGGGTTAGAAATAGATGCAGAACAAAAGGGTTGTTTTTGTGTGATGCTGAACTCACAATGTTTGAGTTGTTAATGCTAACATTAGCTATGAAGCAATAGCAAAACTGAATATTTTTGGCAGATTAAATAAACATAGACTAAAAGCTGCTGATATCTTACTCTGCATTGACACGCACATTTACAAGAATGGAGACATCTGTGCTCTTGAGTACCTCCTCATACACACACACATATTGCAATATTTGTGGGGACCCGTCATTGATGTAATGCATTCCCTAGCTGGTTACCCTAACCTCACCCATCACAACTGAAATCCTAACCTCAACCGTCCTAACCTTCACACAGCTTTTTAAATTTGGGCTCTAGGGTTTTTGGTCCCTCAAGTTTAAATGGTTTCCTATTTGTTGGACCCCACAAATATAGTGAAGCAAGGCTACAAACACACATACACACACATACATACACACCCACACAAGCATCTTAATGATACCCTGATTCAAACGGTCAGTGGTTAATAGAGGTGTGTGTCAACGGGAGTCCTGTGGGATAAACATGAATCGTTGGATGTTGTGCATAAAACCTCTGCACACACACACACACACACACACACACACACACACACACACACACACACACACACACATACATACTCTGATCCTGCTCCTTGTATCTGATCTGTCGTTCCTCTCTCTCTTCCTGTGTTTTTCAGTTACTCAGTGACGGTCCAGGAGTCATACGCTCATCCTTTTGATCAGGTTTATTACACCAGCTGCACCGACATCCTGAACTGGTTCAAGTGCACCAGACACAGGTATGGACAACATCAGACATGTGAAGAGAGTGGTGGTTTGTCTTTGCCTGCTGTAGCCTCTGTACTGTACCAGCACACTTCCCTCATCTGTCAGCCATTTTCCAAACCAGTGTTTCCTCCTTCTCCTCCTCCCTGGCTTGAAACAGCACACAGACAGGAAATCCATCACAGTGATGATTTATGTTTGTGTATTTTTGTCAAGTTTATGTCATTGTGGCATGGTAATACATCAGTCTACACTAGCAACTACATGACCACACAGCCAGGACAAACAAAACTATTTATTTCATCTTAGAAAATAGAAGTTTGACAAAAAATGTTGTCACAAGCTCCAGAGACTGATTTTTTCTGGAGCTTTTAGGCCACAAAGATGAGACTTATTCGTAGTTTACTTTAGTCACTACAAATGCTTCACTTCCAGCTACAGTCAGAATGTAGTTGAAGGTCAAGTGACAAGAACTAATAAATAGTATAGTAAGTTATTTCATAAACAGTCGATACCTGCTGCAGTGTTCTCTTTATCTTTATGTAATTCATTATTTAATCATCCTGAAATTGCCATCCATATTTCCATTCTTCTATCTACCCTCCGTCCGTCCATCATTTGTACATGTATCCAGTCCAGGGTTGCGGGGGGCTAGAATCTATCCCAGCATGCTTTGGGCAAGACAGTTGAAAAAAGGAGACCTGTAAAACAACATGTAAAACAACATGTAAAACAGATAAAACACCTTCATAACACCTTCTTAAAAACTGCTGTTCGTAAACACGTTGCCAACAATCTGATCTTTAGAGGTTTGAAGACACAATAATTTGTAACTGTGGGTTTTCCCCACCTCCCCGCCCCTTTAGGACACCAGCAGCAGGTCTGAGTCTGTTCACTCCAACAGGAGAAGTGAACCTGATCACACATTATGATTCTTTCTCCCCATAATAAATATTGGATCCATGTTTCACAAGCCACAGATTTTTTTTTCCTTTCTCTGTCTCAGCAACAAACTCTCAACAACACAGATCTCCTCTCTCTGCTGGTTCTGGTTCTGGTTTCACTGCTGCAGTAGAGCTGCTGACGCTTTCCAACTGCAGAAGTTTAGAGGGACCTGAACATAGATTCAAATTCTATCTACTGTTGTATTGTATTGTTGCAATCATGACCACGCATATTTAGGAGACAGGAAGTGTTAACCATTTCACACCAATTGGCGCTGCTTGTGATGCGTCATTTTTTGTTATAGAGTATCTTTGATGCTGTGGAGAGGTTGTCAATCTATTACAGGGCTGACAACTGTTCTCACACACATCCATCATACAGGTGATTTGAAGTTTCTGGTTCAAATGACCCTGCATGTGTTTGGACTAGGTGATTTTATTCTGTACATCTGTAGAATCTAAAGCAGTCCAATCAAACAGCTCATCATAAATTCTACTTTTACAAAGATAATGATGGTTAGTTTTGATTGACGCTGTCATAGGTCATAGTTAGTGATGGTTTTGTACTGGAGTGCATTATATTGAAATGTGTTCCCCATCATGTTTGTGAATTGGGAGGAGAAACATTAGAAACACATTTCAGTTTAATGCAACTATAGTTAAATTAAAATAACGTCCTCCACTCAGACTAGTCTCAGGTTACATCCCTGTTAATCCACAGTCATATAATTGCATAATTGCTGTGTGAAGTCTTGAGGTATGGCTAAAAATCTAATCAGTTCATCCTTAAGTCCAAGTGAACATTTTTACCAAATTTGAAGAAGTTCCATCAAGGCGTTACTGCCTCGTTATCGTGCCCATAAGAATGAGACAGACTTATGGACAAACAACCCAAAAATAATATGCCTCTGACTCTGACTGTCGCCGGTACGGAGGAATAAACATTTGTATCTCTCTGACAGTATTAATTTAACTCCTAACTAAGTCATTTAATTGTCAATCAAAGCTGAACAATATTAAAGGTATAAAGGTAGAATTTATGGGTGCAAAGTGCAGACTCAAATAGAGCAACGTGATGAGCCGCTGTTAATTACATAACATATTCAGTTTTATTTCCAGGTTTAAAAGTGTGGTGTATTAACAGGCTTTGCTTCATTATGTTTAATAACAGACTGGTTCTGGTCTCACAGGGTCTTCATCAAGACAGTTAAAGGATTGATGCTACCTGGTTCCATATGCCAACAATTCACTCCACATTTTATATCACACAATGAAATGAACAATGGAGGTAAACAACACCGTGTATAAACATGTGATCATGTGTGACCTCACTTCCTGTCTGTGTGCAGGGTGAGCTATCGGACAGCGTATCGCAGAGGTGAGAAAACCATGTACCGCAGGAAGTCCCAGTGCTGTCCGGGGTTCTATGAGGATGGAGAGATCTGTGCACGTGAGTACCTTGATGTTAGATATATTGAAGCTGTGTTTTATTTGAAGAGTTGATCCATCAGAAGATATATTTAATATATATATTTTAAGAACCAAAAACCATCTCAGTGTAGTTTTACATCTCATCTCTCAGGCGTCTCTCTGGAGCTCTAGTAACAACAGGTCAGTGAGCCAATCAGAAGAGAGGAGGCTCTTAGCCTCTCTTCTGATTGGCTGACTGTTTTCTGAGTGATCCAATAAAAATAAAGCAGATCTCAGGGAAACACTCCAAATCCTGCAAAGTTGGATGGAGGGGGTCCGGTTGGGCGGGGCTTGGGGCGTAACTGAGTGCAGTGACTGCTTTGTTGTGACATCACAAAGTTCCAGAAGTCCTGACGGCTTGTTTTAAGGCTCAGTTTCTGAATACAGGCTGTGTGCATTTCTCTGTGGACTGAGCGCTTTGATATTTTCACAGTATTAATATAGAACCTAGACCTGCTTTATGATCAAACAACACATGGACAGAGACCATTAGACTATATGGACCTTTAAGCTAGAACTATAATTTAGTATTCTGCATGAATAGATTGTTTTGGCTGGTCTGTCATTAAACAGACATCTTTTAACGTCCTTGTTATCATGGCAAACAGCCCATGTGTTCGTTACTATATGCAGTTCATTGCATATAGTTACATAGTTATATATAGTTATATTCATTTTTGTTGAGAAACTAAATGTTTTTGAAGTGTTTCCACTCGCAACTGAACTATTCACATCCATCAGAATGAAACACAGCTTATCCAAACATGATTCACTCAGCGTTTGCTTCAAAAGTAAAAGTGTGTGTCATTTTGTGACATAGACAGGTGGCAAATGAAAGGAAAACACCTGGATAAATGAGCTGAGTAATGTAATAAATGCGGAGTGCAGATCACTGAATGGTATGAAAACGATGTGAATCAGAAGCTGTGGCTTTACTGCTTCTACATACTGAGGAAGCTGTTGAGCACGGTTCAGCTGAATCACCGTCACTAGTCGGAAAAACACAACCCGTGTCTCCTAAATGTGTTGTCATTACCGTGACCTCACTGGCTTCTGTGCCCCCCCCCCCCCAGTAACCAGCAGGCGGTGACAGGTGTGAAGCCACAGTGGCAAAAACAACAACTGGTGTTCAGAAGTGAGAGTAAAACGAAAGCATTATGTTAACACACAGTGTCAGTAGTTGGTGATAGAAGAGAGTGATAGTATGAGTGTTGTTAGAGGAGGCGGAGGCCACAGTTTGATGCAGGCAGGGGATGTGATATTGTGCCCCGGGAGTTCAGAGGGGAATTTATTTTGGTGTGAAAAGGCTCTGTTGTATGAGCAGCTATCACATGCTGCTGTGACAGTCTCACTGAGCTGCTCAACAAAGCACCGCAGCGAGGAGGATTCACCACATACTCAAACTACACAGCATGTCAGAGAAGAAATTACATGAAGGTTACATTTATTATATGTAGTTTGGATGCGGTCAGAGGAGCCTCGGTAATGAAATGGGTTTGTTTATGACTCATCAGAAGTTTAGTAACACAATGCTAAAAATATCAGCTGGTGACAAAGGTTTCCTCTTCTTCTTCCTCTTCTTCTTTTACAGTGTTTACAGTGTTTAGTTCATTTACCCTTTTTAGTGTAACAAATTAATATTTCTTTATTAACAGAGGATCAAAAGACAGTGTGTACTGCGAAAGGGTTTTGTGGTGATGAACCCATTGACATAAAATACATAGTGCCGTCTATGTATTTATGTCAGTGGGTTCATCACCACAAACCCCTGGTCGCTTCAGCCTGTTGCTGTGATACGTCAACCTCACCTCTATATTGGACTGGACAAGACTGCCCTGTAAACAATAGGAATAAATGGAGGAGCTGCAGTTTTCCTGGATAAAAAGCAGTATAAAGCTTATATTTCTCAACTGATTGCAATTAGTCTTTTTAAAATTCAAGGGTTTATGATCTATGTGGAGTAAAATTAAAAGTTTTGTCTCCAGTTACTTAGAATCATCTGTAATCACTGTTTTCTATAAAGAGGAATGTGCATTAATGTTAAGTAATTTACTTCATGTAAACCTATGTGGTAGTAAATAATTCATTGTCATAAAGAATTGTTAAAACTAGTGAGTAAAATACATTTTTACATTTCTCTATATTTTTCTCAGTGAAAGGGTGAGATACAACGTTATTGATCCCAGAGGAGAAATTCAAGTGTTAAATCAGGATAACATATTTACATGATAGACTGTGATAGAAAAAAATTATATAGGACAGTGTAATAATATAAAGTGAGATGATCAGTTAGTAGTACAACAATATACAACGGTATAATACATCATTAGGCTGTACTATATTGTTATTATTAATATCCTATAAATAAAATAAGGTGTAACATGAATATATTATAATATATTAGTAGCAGCATAATATTTGATTAGGAATAGTAAATAGTAAATGTTAGATAAATAGTAGTTTAATTTAGTAAATAAGGTAACAAAAGTTCCAACTATTCCTTATGACAATGAATTATTTTCCACCAAGTCAGTAATTCAGTTCATGTAAACCTAACATTGATACACTCCCCCTTGTAGAAAACAGTGATTCCAGCCTAAACCATGAGGATTCTAAGTAACTGGAGACAAAGCTTTTTTTTTACTCCTCGTTGATCATAAACCTTTGAATATAAAAAGACTTTATAGAGCTTTTTATCCAGAAAAAACTGCAGCTCCTCTGTTTATGTGCGCTTGTTTACAGAACAGTCCTACACGGTCCAATACGGCAGTGACGTTGGCGAACGATCCAGCAGCCAATGCGGCTTCTGTGTAATATGTCTGTGGATGAACCCATGTTAGAATTACAGAGCTCTTCAGCCTCTTTCAGCTCAGTGTTTTGGTTTTATGTTCCACAGCTTTACTGTTGTGGTTCAGTGTCTTTAACCTGGTTTCCTCCAGTGAATAAGCTCTGATAAACCTATTGTACACTACTTGACAGGTTCAGTTAGGGTTTGAGGAGACCAAACCGGAGCTTAAAGGAGAGTAAACATCAGTTGGACATGAACACTTCTCCTGTTCAACTGGGGTTCTTGTTGTTTTGTTCTGTGAACTGTGAAGAACTTTTTACTTGTGGTCTTGATTCAAGGATTCAAGGAATTTTCTGTCAAATGCATTAAAATACCAGCAGTGCATTTTCACACAATGTTATTATGCCATTGTTGTTATTGGTGATATAATATAATTTACCCAGTGGTAGCAGTGAAATGTATTTATGTCCTGGATGAGTGTTGTCTCTTATGATGGGCTGTGCAGTTTTTCTGCACCTAGTATCATCAATGCTTAGCAGCCACACTGTTTAACTAGATGGTGCACCGATTAAAATGAACCAGAGTTTTTGTGGATACCAAACCTCTTCTGGTGTGCAGTCCTCTGAAGTCAATGATCACTGCTTTGGTGCTATGTAAATAAAGTTGAACTTATTTACTTACTAATATGTCAAATGTGTTGTTTTCAGCTTGTCCTGAAGTTCTGACAAACAAAAACAACTGACAAATATAACCTAATTAATGTTTCAAGCAAGTAAGCCAATGTAAAGTGTAATACAAACAAACAAGGAGGAACCAGTAACATCAGTCCTGTCATACTCAATAATCAGCCTGTAGAAGAAATGGAACATTTTAAGTACTTGGGCACAATCATTGATCAGACTCTGACCTTCAATTCAGGGCCCCAAGGGCCAGCCGGAGCACATACAAAAAGTCTGTTATTCCCTAAGTCAACCAGGCATTGAACACAACATGACGGCACCATGGAACACTTGTTACTTGTCTTGTTATCTTATAAGATTTGCTGTCTGGTCTTTATTTATTAACCTACCTGCTCATTTGCTGTATTGTATGTTGTACATGTTGTATGTGTGTAATGGTGTGTTGTGTTATGTGGATTGTTTGTATTTTTCTTGTACCTTCTTTGGGAGAAACCGAAGACAAATTTCCACTGAGGTGGACAATAAAGTCAATCAATCAATCAGTATTAGCGTCATCAGCAGCATGCAAGCAGCAAGTTTTACTTATATTTATAACATGACTGACTTTTAATCAAAGTGGACCAATCCTATTTTGGTCTAAATTGCCTTTAGTTGAGCCTTTAAACATGGAGGTGTCAGATTCAAGTGTTTACAGCTCTGTTAAAGCTGAAGTTATTTCCCCCTACATGACTAATCCTAATGCAGATGTCTGTTTTAAAAGTCTCTGTGACTGTACTGATCACCGGCCTGTCTTCCTGTCTCCTCCATGTCCAGCTCACTGTGCAGAGAGCTGTGTTCACGGCCGTTGTATGGCTCCCAACACCTGCCACTGCGAACCGGGCTGGGGGGGCTCCAACTGCTCCAGCGGTAAGTCCTCCAGCTGTTGCTGTCTGTGAGCGGTCACGTCTTTGTGTGTGTGACTCTGGTTCTCTGTGAAAGCACTCAGGAGAAAAAACAGACGGTTGTATCGTCTTACTGACTGAAGCACACCAACAGCAGCAGTGAGAAACACCGCACAAGCAAAACACTCCGTTCTCATGGCTGTGATCTCAGACGTTTCCTCAGCTACTGCACTTCAGTACAAACATGAGATGTACTTATACCTTACTATTTCAACTCCACTACATTTCTGTGTGTTAACAAAACATATCAACATCTTACAGGCTAGCTGTCATGAATGTTGTCATGAGGCCAGCAGCAGCTGTCAGTCTGTGCTTCCTTCACTGTGGTCTGGCTGAGCTCAACAGACCCTCACTTGAGGCTGATATTACTTTACAATTGAATTAGTCTGCACAGAAGCTTATTTACACGTCTGCTCATTATTCAGACATCAACATGATCCATGACACCCACACACAGTCTCTGCCGCCTTCAGCCATCAGCTGCTATTTGTCACTTTTGGCCAGCTGCAAGTAGCTCTTTCATTTCCATCATGGGACAACAGAGTTCATGTTTTCAACAGTGAATGTATTGCATCCTCAACACGGGTAGAAGTGGTGTCTTGTTTAACACAGTTATTAAAACTGTACTGGGCCATTGTCTCTGAGCCTCTGAGGTCATTTAGTTTCAGAGAACATACTGATCATGATGATGTAAATGCAACAGACATTTCAAACATTTGGAGGCTCAGAATTATAGAGATGTGTGGTGAATTAAAAAAAGAAATATTCAGACCCCTTCACTTTTTACACATTTTATTGTGTTGTAGATTTAATTTTAAGTGGATGAAATTGACATTTTTGCACATCAATCTACACAATAATAACCAATAAACAAAGTGAAAATGTGTCTGTAGAATGTTTTGCAAATTTTTTAAAAATCAAAAACTGAAATCTCTCATTTACAAAAGTATTCAGACACTGCATGTTGGGACAAACGCCAAGCCGGAAGATCAGGGCAAAGGTAAAAAACATTTTTAAATCTTTGAGTGTTCCCAGGAGTGACAGGGACAGGGAGACTGTGAATTGAGAGAAGGACAAAAGTCTTTGAAGAAAACCTGCTCCTGAGCACACACAACCTGAGACTGAGGGCGATGCTTCACCTGTCAGGGTGACGACGTGTCCCAGAGCAAACAGCCAAGACAATGCTGGGGTGGCTTTGAAACAAGTCTCTGACTGTCCTAGAGTGTCCCAGTCAAAGTCCAGAACACCTGTGGAGAGACCAGCTCAGACACTTCCCAGCGACTTATCCAAGAAGACTGGAATCTATAACTGCTGCTGAAGAGGCTACTACAAAGTCCTGAATTTAGGGTCTGAATACTTTTGTAAATGAGAGAGGCACAAAAATGGCAAATTTATGTATTTAATATTAAATCCAACATAAGAAAATGTGCAAATACATTATCTGAATACACTGTCCATGTCCTAATGTTTTTACTGGGGATACCATACTTCTTTAAAGGTCCCATGATTTACACATCCGAATGGCTTCTTGCAGCCCAGTGTGCCGAGAAATAAAGTCCATAGTCAGTGCCAACTTTCAGCCCCAACACAGGAAATGTTGCATTATGTAGCGTGGGAGAATTTAAGGGTGAGGAGGCTGGAATGATGGATGGGTATGTAGCAGGAGACTCAAGCTCACATCACATCCCAGACTGCAGTTAATGTTTGCTTTTTCATAACCATAACCACGATCTTCCCTTACATTAACCATACGGTAGTTATCATCATATGCAGATATAGTAGAAAGCAAGAATTTAAAAAACAAACATCACATCAGCATCGTCCAAAAAATTGACTTTGTAGCAATGGTGGCTGAGGCTCGTGGGTTTTCTTAGGACTGATTGTCATAAGATAAACTGACATTTTCCAAGAGATCTGTCTGTGCTTCTGTGTTGAGGAATCTACAGTGAGACAGAAAGTTTGATCTCAGGGGCCAGGCACAAGGCAAGTCAAAAGCATTTAAAGATGATTAATCTGACTCTTCAGTTATACCCACCAGCACAGCACAAGATCGCCAATGTTTCCCTTGTTGTTCAAATTCCCATTTCGTAGAAGCTATAAAGGGCCACACCACAGATTTGAACCATTAGAGCCAGCCACTACTCAGCCTGTGAAAACACTTTTATTATGTTTGTTCTGTGGCTCTGGGGGAGCAAGTCTGACAAGATAGCCCCTGAAGATGTCGTATTGTAGTGATGTCATCAGGATTATCGCACAGCTTCATGGAAGTGCAATACTTAATTAGTGGAGAACTTGTATCAGTCATTTTCTTAGTGTAGTAATATCCCAGTTCTGATCAGGTCAGCACCAGAAATTAATTAGCATCAATGATTTCATTATCTGTTTTTGTTTGGGTCCTTTAATGTCCACTGGTTGAAACACGAGCTGTTTTGTTTGCATCATACTTGAGACAGTGTCTACTCAGTGTCTGCGTGAGGTTATTTTTGTTTCTGCTTATGAGTCTATGAATGTGTCTCCATGCGAGCCTATAAGCTGATATGCATGAGGAGCCCACAGGGTGTGCCCCTGCTGTCTTCAGTTTCAGCCTGTAATAAAGAAGCTTATTGTTGTGTATGGGCCCCAGGGCTCTCCTGGGCCCCACTAAGCCCAGCCTGTCTGTCTGCTCTCACACACGAGCATTCATCTTTAAAAAAAAGTTTCTCTTCAAAAGGAACTTAATGAAAGTATGAATGACTTGGAAATGTGATGCTTAATCTTGGAAATAAGAAGTGTGAAGTGTGTTTCTCTGTTTTTCTGGGTGTATTTTATTTCTTTTTCACTTATTTATGAAGAAATGAACAGGAGCAGATTAATGCACATTTGTGACACGGAAGTTAGGAGGATTTTTACTCCTGTCTCATCCCAATCCTGGAGTGACTCTTGTCCCATTACCGTTTTTAAGAGACTCCATTGTTGGCAATGGCTTTTTTTTTGGTGTTTTACAATTTACTTGTGGTGGTGGGTGGCACAGTGTGTGACCAATGTACATGCAGAGACTCATGCAGTTTAGAGTGGGAGAGGGTCATCCAGGTTATTTTGTGTGACTACATGTCTCCTAAATGCCTCACATTTATGCTATCAAGACACTGCATTTTATTGATGTTCCCTAAATGCTTCATGTTAGACTATCAGCACACTGAGAAGCCTCTAGTTCCTGATCAGTTACTGCAGCGCAGCAGCTCAGACAGGTGTGGCCAAAACGTATTGAGTTTGAAAAGAGTGAAATAAGGTTCTAATGTCACATTTATTGGCTCAGCAGTGAGCAGCCTCTCTGATTTGTGGTGGCCACCATGTGTCATCAATCCACACACGTGTTGCACAGGTCAGGTTGCAGCCAACCAGAAGCAGCACCAGAGCAGACAGAAAAGAATAAAAAAAGAGTAAAACAGACAACAGAACGACTGGCATGTATGTTCAAAATAAAGAAAAGTGTTTGTTCATATGAGAACTGCATATTTAAGACTTACCTATTTTATATGATTCCCATCCCGCCCGCTCTCATCTCTACATCTACTTCCCCCAAAAAATTCAGCCTCTAATTTGGTGTTTTACTAAATATTAATGGCAGCATGTTGGTGTATGTGGGATTAAGTCATAGTTAAGTTTAGGTGTCACCCAGTACAGCAGTGTGGCTCATTGATGTGTTTTTAAAAGTTTTCAAACAACAATGGAGCAATCTGTCTGTGAATGTTCTCATTCGTCCAGGTCAATGGAGCAATGTGACACAGAGTATGGTATATATATATTTAAGCAATATCACATGAGAGGGAGTGATGTTGTACTGAATATCAGCTCGGTTGTGATTCGGTCATAGGTACGAGGCCGCAGGTCAGTTCTATGAGCGCCATATTAGGTAACAGATTATGATTTGTTTGTTTATTTCATCATTTATTTGGCTACGCCAACACAAATAGTTCCGCAACTTTACTGGTACTGGACTGTTGCTAAGCAACACATAAACATTGTTCTGACCTGCACAGTGCACACTAGCTTGCTACTTTGTCTACAAGTTACCTCAGGTGTGCGCTGAAGTATCCAGGCTTCTTCTCTTCATCCTCTCCTGACGACCACACATCATTTAATTCAAATGTCATTTCTGGAAATATATTCATCTTATTTTTATCTTTCAACCGTTAATGTAGCGCTAATTAACTGTTAATAGAACACCTGTAAATCGGAGTGATACATGTAGTTAAAAGTCCCAGAGCTGTTGTACTCTATATCAGTACTCATGGAATGCCTCTTGTCCAGTCAAATTACTTGGTCAGAAGTAACTGTTGTATAACAAGCTTTGGATACACACACAATACGTGTTAGTTGGATACATTCTACATTGGTTTGGCTCAGCATATGGGATTTGTTGATGACAAGAAAAATATAGAACTTATCCTTTAAAGGAGCTATTTGTAAGTTTTGCTTTTGCTTCATAGCTTAAGCATTAACAGCTGTTTACTTACCAGTCAAGATTAAATGTTTTGAATTCAGCATCAAACTTCACTCCTTTACTCACCAACAGCTGTCTCCAGAGGTGGAAACAAACAGCAATATTAGCTCTTGTTTTAAATCTATTTCTATCACTTCCTTTCTTCTTCTGAAGTTAGCATGCTAACAGCTAGCCCTGGTCTGGCTGAACTGTCTGGTCATTTTCCAATACCGGGTTACTGTAATGTCCAGTCTGCCCTGACCCTTGAGCTGCTCAGAGAGTGTATTACAACCCCTTGTCTTGTAAATACAACAATGGTTCTTGTCAAGACTGGTAAGTAAACAGCTGTTAAACATTTGCTTTGTAGAAATACTTACATATAGCTCCTTTAAGGCTTCCTTCAGCTGAACATGAACATTTTTAAACTTTCCCACTGGGCCTAGATACTGAATCTTACTGGGTTATTCTAAGTAAAGGGTTCTCATTTGTTGACCCAAAACCAC